GAAACCTTGCACAGGACGTTGGATTATCTCTGTTCCATCATGTTCCATCTGTGTTAAAAAACGCCTCCGTGCAATCTCATAGCAGTCACTGGTATGGTGCAGGAATAGGGTCTGTGTATCCACGGTACAACCTACTAAGCTGCATAGTTGGGAGGGAGCAATGTGGAGCTACTACCCGTGATATATCCACCCTGATGACTGAGTCAATCATTTCGACCTCCAATGCAGGAAAGGTACGAAGCTGGAATACTTCCAGCGGTTTTCACCACCCACAACGATGTTTTCGCCTGCAATGCGTGATGGATTGCCATTTGGTGCGGTCACTGTTACAAACAGCACCCCAAGACCATTCTGACAACAGATGTGGGAGTCATATATAATCTTAGTATCATACAACAAGGGGTACCTCAACCTGGAGGTACTGATTGAACACGCCCAACTGGATTGCTCGTGGTACCAGGGCTGAGTGTTGGTCCAAGCCCAACAGGATGCGAGAAGCATGCAACCTCCCAGGAATCGTCACGGTTTTGTGGGACCCCTTGGATAGCCATGTTCCGAATACAAACAGCTGTCAAACGGGTGTTTTTGCCACACCCATGATGATTTATATATTATATAGATATACTGTAGTTAATTTGGGAATGTACTCAATCCTCCACAAATGCTATCTTCGTATGTGGCCTTGGGGCGAGTTGGAAAACACTGTTCCCTCTATCATGATAAGGCACGATGCTCAAAGAGAAGCAGCAACTCACTGATGTTGTGTGGTGGTACTTGTGATGGTTTGTGGTTCATCACCAAGTCAATTGCCCTCGATAGAAGAGCTGTGCACACAAGGATCTTCATCCGAAAAATACGTTGGGTTGCAGAGTCTCCGGTTGTTTCCGTTTGTTGAAATTCGATCAATCTTCACATCCTGGGAGTTCAAGCAAAGCCAGTGCAACAAAGTCCTGATCAAGATCCCAGCCATTGCAAGCAACATACAGTTGGAGAGAAAATAACAACAAAACCTGGTGTTGCTGACCATCACCATACCATCACCTGTCAACTGTTATACATGACTGTACTCGGCTCCCACCACAATCCTGCTTGATCCAAGCAAACATATAAAAACAAACAAGACAATCATGAATTAATGCATGCCCCGTCCTCTTCGAGGAAGTCGCTCTACAAGTCCAGAAGACCCACGAAATCCCACGACTATCGCGCGCGCGCCCCTCACGGTGCCTGGCTTCTCGAGCTCCTCTCCGGTGCTTAGGGTTTGGACCGCGAAGGCCTCGCGGAGCCGTGGTGTGCGAAGCCGATAACACTCGCACCCAGGGTGGGCGGCAAATGTGTGTTTTTCGTTTCATGGCTGTTTGGGAGTGGTGGTTTGTTTCTTCTCAGAATCTTCATCCGCCGAATCCTCAACCAGGGGTGGGTCTTTGTCATTCTTTCTCTTTGACCCACACAAATGCAAAACACACTTTGCATCGTGACCCCCGTTCCCTTTCCAAAGACTGGCCTCACCTCCCCAACTCTTCGCAGAGTAAATCTTGCACTTGGGGATTGGGGATACCACAGAATACCTCAGGAGAGGTTCGCCTACTTTTCCAGAACAACTCTACAGACTATCACAAACCTACTGCTTTCTCGTCTGTGATCGGTGACACCACGCACGTCCACATTGCTTGCAGGACGCAGTGGCTGCCTCCAGCCGTGAACCCATTTGTTGGATTTGAGCCTCAACAGGTAGAAACTTAAGCTGGAGAAGCCTTACTAACCCATGACCAAAACACACAGGGTTTACGCATAAGCTAGTAGTGACAAATCACAGGTGTTGTTCAGGCATTGATTCTTGTTCTTATTGCTTTCTTGTTCACAGGTGTCGTTTCCAAGCCCCCAAATATGGAATCAACCTAAACATGTCCCAAACATGATCCATATGCATATGAAACGCCTGTTCTACAAACAATGCAGCTTTTTCATCTGATGCTTCAGGCAGTTCGGTGGTATTCTCCATCTCACTTCGCACAGCTGCCATGTGCCGTGCGTTTGCCGATTCACAATCCCCTCCCACCTCGTTGTCGAAGACGAAGCGCACTCGGCCCGCTTGGACCTGCGGGTGCACATTGCCAAGGCGACGCGAAAAAGGCTCGGCTTGTATATGTCAATTAGTATATGCCAATATATATATACTGCATACAAAACATTGGGCTGATATAGCATGACTCATGCTGGAGAGGTGCTATGTGTTGCGCTGCTGGAGACTCTCTTCTGATAGCTTTGTGAAGAGACTGCAGGGGAGGGAAAAAGCACCTCCTAAACGACACGGAGCTTTTTTACCTCGAGGCCACACACTACCAGTATCATAGAGAGACCACCACCAAAAACTGGGAAGTAGATGATGCATGTATCATATCCCCAATAATCCCTGGGATCGGATAGACGATGTTCGATTCCTTCATGATCATTCATGCGTTTCTTGCTGGTACAAGCAGCTGTCCTGATCTGTACCACTCTTTTCATCTGTGGAACGTTACTGGTGCTGACTGTTGTTGGTAGCTGAAGTTGTAGCGGCCTAGATGCACAGCCGAGAACCCGAGAACTCTCGCTGGGAGCACGAAAAAGAGCACGCCAAGAAGAAGGACTAGAAGGCCCAATCCAAACCTCAGCCAAAGCTCCGTTGGTCGAGTGGCCAGTTTGAGAAATGCATTTAGGAGAAAAGCAGGATTCATGCAGTCGACCTGTATTTAGGATATGGATTGGACAATTCTTGGTAGAAACACTTTTGTGATTATATGGTAGAACCACTTTCCGGATCAACCGAGAGACTATATATATATAATATATATACATAAATTCAATCGACCCTGAAATGAACATTCCGAACCAACTGTCCGATCAATCCAAAAGCACACATTGACTTTTCTATCCATTAAGACGTTTACTATAACTATTTTTGAGCAGAGAGACAGAGAGAGAGAGAGAGAGATCAAATAGGCCATCCCGGCGGCCATCCTCCTTACCCCACCGTCATGCAAAGAGACAGCATTAAAATTAAGCAAAATGGAATATGTAGCTCAAATTCAGGTCCCTAGCACAATTCTCGGGTCTTGGAAGATGTGATGTCACAAGCCTTGGATGTCTCATTTCACACGACTATCCATCAGAACCTTATAGTAAATCCATCACTCTCCTAGCCCTCAATGATGCAAATCGGACCACTCGAAAGAACGCGTTCGTTGTATGTCACTCACAATGATCGTTGCATTGTCTGTTTGAGATCTTCACCATTCCAACAAATCCGAACTCCAAGAAACTTCCTCCGGTAGGTCAGCAGACTTTGGGAAGACCAGTTCCAGGAGCTCAAGAAGCTGGAGACACACATAGAAGCCGAACTCCCGAGAAGAAACCCAATCCACCTCCCAAACGCCTGCTTTGGAAACAGCCACCATATCCACCAGATGTTTCCACCCTTCCACGCGGGCGAAAAGACATCGGCATGAGATTCCAAGGAACCCAAAGAAAGGCAACGTACAAAGCACAAGGCCCAATCCACTGAAGGCCGCAGCCAAGGTATAATCCTGCACCAGGTCAGCAGGGCCGTTGAACAAAACAAGGGTACTTCCACTGAAACCAAAGAAACTAGATGGGATATAATGGGGGATAGATTGGTATAGACACCTTCATCACGAAACTGGATTCTTCATTGCTTGTTTGCACGCGCAATTCAGGCTATGTGCTGAGAGGGGCAAAACTCCTCTTTGATGACCACTGGAGGCTCATTTGCGTCCGCAGGCAGGTTGAAAAACCTCAAGATGAAGAAACGGATAGAAAAGGCATTCAAAATCATCCAGGAGCAAAATGAGCTTAATCTTGCCCAAAGTATTTCAGAATGAACACCTCAAGATGATCTCAAGTCATCGTTTAACATGTTTGGCAGAATGAAGCATTATTTCATATTATATGATATCCACACGACATGGAACTGTCCGGCACCACCTCTCTGCACTGGCAAATCCCCGGGGCCCCGGCTGGCGGGACACCTGAAGTCAGCGAACCCTCCGCGAAAAGCAACGCCATGTTCGCTGAGACCGGTCATGGCTGGGTCATGGATATGTAAATCATGGATAAATCCAAGGACATGTTTTTCCTTGGAAAGAAAGAACACCATTGACAGAATGAACTATATGAAACTACATACTTCATCATACTTCTACTACATGAAGAAGTTGTTAAAACTTTTTAAACAAGTCACCCAAGGTCCACAGCCAGGTGTCCTGTGGGTTGTTCGGCCCTTGTGGGTCAATCATTTTCTGGTGCATTGGAGGATCTTGGTACGTACAAGTATATTGAGTATATTAGCGTGGCACTTGTTCCTAGTAGCTTCTTGTTACTACTAGTAACGCACTTGTTACTAGAAGCGATGCACTTGTTCCTAGTAACGTTTCAACGGTTTCAACATGTTTCAACTTTGGTCTTCTTAGGCCGCTTGCTCGTTTCTTTTTTGAAGTGCAAGGCGCTGCGTCAGTGAGCCCAGTCGTGTTGCTGGGGTGGAAAACTCTTGCTTCCACAGATCTGCAGCCCCTTGCTGCCTGGCTAATACACAGGTGCCCAGCTCGTCAAGCCTATAAGATAGATTGTGGGGTAAACTTAAGCCCAGTCCAACAAACATGTTGCTCGACAAATCGGTGGATAAGAATCAAACGACGAAACGTTTTCAGTATATCATATGCATATCAGTCATGCTTTGACCCCACCTCTACAAAATGCACGCATATCAGTCATGGATGTCATGGCACTGTTGCTGCCCACTGTGCTATGCTATGCCAGCCGACAGCATGTTCAGTTCAAGCCAGGGGCAAGCATTTCAGACTACGATATGCAGTTCATGAAACCATGCAACGGACGTGTCAAAAAATTACTTGTGCTCATCTTTCAGCTGAAATGGTTCTGGCTTGCCAACCAGACTGAAGTACTGGCTGGATCAGCCCTTTCTTTGTGGCTGCCTCCCGACCATTAAAACTTCTGTAGTATCCAACGCTGTGTTTCTGGATGGCCCGGTCGGTTGCTGCGCAGCTTTCCCTGTCCCACTGCGCAACGCCACGCTCTGCCTAATGCCCGACCGCCTCAATTCCGGCCATCCATGCTCCATCAAACTGCTGGTTATTCCTACAGGCAGTAGGGTCTTACAAACACAGAGGTTACTTCTGAAGAGCATGGAGATTGCGGAAGAGTTTGGCCTTGGAAAACTGTTGTGGGACGGTCAACACTTCGCGTTTCAAGATGGTCTCTTTGTGGCTTTTGAGGCTATTTTCCTATCCAAACACCACCAAGTCATCGATTGTCCCAGGTCTCGCGCACCCTCGACCCTCATGGCCCTCATGGCACCACCGGGTCGTTCACCTCAACAAACTCCTTGCTGCAGATATATGCGGGGCTGTGAACGCCAGGGCGAACCGAGAAGCGGAGCTGGCAGGTGCGCAGGGCCTGGTGAGTCGGTGCGCGGACCGTCGAGCACTCGTGAGCGACACCTGAAATCAAGGAACACCTGTTGCATGCAGTTCTGCACTGCTTAGATAAGGTGATCTAGTGTGAATCTCAATGTGCACGTAGCCTCCTACCCGATTTTACAAAGGATATAGCCATGTGGATTCCAGGTGGGTCAAACCAAAATTCTCAGCTCGGCATCACAACGTACTTCTCATTTCTTCCCATGGACATATTGTTCTTGAAGAACATTGGGACAATGATGAACATCCAAAGGGGACACCCCTATCGGTTTCTACATGTTTCGAACCCCGGGCGGTGTCAGGTAATTGATGTCTTTCCGCTTTGAATGAAGGGCCCCAAACCGAGGCCTGCTGGAAGCTCCTCTCTTGCCCCTGGCAGCAGCGGTTCTGCAATGGACTGCAACTGGATCCCTCTTCCACGCAGGCTTCGACGCTGAAGGTCTCAGCTTCCGCCAGGCACTTCGGACGCACCTCTCCTGTGATGGACTTTGGAGACATCACGACTTGTTTCTAATAGCTTCTTGTTACTACTAGTAAGGCACCTGTTACTACTAGCGTGGCACTTGTTACTAGCAGCTTCTTGTTACTACTAGTAAGGCACCTGTTACTACTAGCGTGGCACTTGTTACTAGCAGCTTCTTGTTACTACTAGTAAGGCACCTGTTTACTACTAGCGTGGCACTTGTTACTAGTAGCTTCTTGTTACTACTAGTCACCACGTCACACTACCACTAGAAGACTAAGGCATGATGGCATGCTTTCATGTCACCACTTCCCTGTCATGCTTCGAATTCGGCCCAGCCTGTAGAGTCGGCCTTCTCGTGCTCGGGCTTGATGCACTTGAGAGGCATCTTGTCTTCCAGTTGGCAACATGTTCTGCTGTCAGTATCGCAAAAATCTCCTGACAGGCCAGACCGAGGTACCAAGCTGCATTTCAGCCCGATGGCGACTTCAACGATGGCGACCAAGTGGCTTCAGTGCTTCAAGCGCATCTAACGAGGAGTATCACTAACAGTTCCTAACAGGAAGAACACGGAAGAACGAAAAAAATCCGCTGGACGGTTCAACCTGCTCATCTTCCCAAATTACTGACCCTGTGATCAGGGACCTACATACCTGCTCGAGTTTCCCCAACCGTCCTTTGGTCCAATCTGTAGCGAAGAACAACCTGGAAGAGTGTTCACAACCATGTCCAACCTGGAGCTCCCAACATCTCCCAACCCACCCACCCATGTCTCAACCCACGAGCTTCCAACCACCCCAACAAAAATGGAAAAGGCCAGCACCAAAAGGTGCCCTTCACCACTGCGGACCTTCAGGAATGCACTTGGGCTGCGACACTGCCTGATGTGTGAACTCGGCACCGCACCTAGGACCGCGACGCGGTGGGACGCGGTACCAAAGCACATGAAGTGACATGTGGAGTGAAGGGACGGGTAAGGGTACAACACGATGTTCTCATATATTTCTGATAGATTCTATATGATTCTATATTGCAGACATGATTTCGACGTCGGTACGCAAGCAGGTTGGGAGCGATGTCACTACATGTGCTCTTTCACCCTGAGAGCGAGCGACTGACATCGCCGACATCGCTGTTCCACATCGGTGGACGGGGTCATCGACCCGGACATCGTCGACCCAACTGGTGCAGCTTTTGACCCAACGGGCCAGGAGACTTGTAGGACATCCCAGCATCTTTGGTGTTCGAGCGCAGGCGGCAAGTCATCAACCTGTCGATATTTTTGGTCACGTGAGTCGAAGTGGAAATCGAGTTGCGACGAGATGGGATAGGAAGATCCGACTTCTGGGCTGGTGGAGCCATAGAGTACAGGGTTTCTTGAATCAAGATCCAATTGACTTGTGAAGGACTTCCAGCTCAAAGCTTCAACATGACCTGAACTAAAACAATATCACTTGAGGTGATCCTTGAGCTTCTTTGAAGCAGGCCAAGCCGAACAGTCCAACACCAGGAAAGACATTTGTGAGGAATTGTGATGACCTGTGTTTCAACTATAATTTATGGAGCAAGCCAATTTATGGATACAAATGCTGCTCCCAACCTCCACGGATAACCTATAAATTGAACAACCCAGTCAACATCCTCGAATTCTATTTTTATTCACCTAAGCAAGGAAAACATCCCTTTAAGCTGTCTGCCACGTAAGTCCTTCTAATTGAGCATCTAATTTTCATCAGCGGAATCACTACCCCAGAGATCCCAAAATCTTCCAGAAGCATCCAGATGCAAATCGAGGACCCTAAAGTAGAAGGAGGGAAGAAAGGAGACCCGCACCGGCTGAAAACACGGAGGTGGACAAAGGTGTAATAAAGAGAGGGCAGGGAAGCTAGCAGATCAGGACATGAACAGAATTGAGGTTTTGGTGGTTAGGACACCCATTTTAAACAGTAGGTTGGGTATGATTGGGTTAAGGGAGGAAGGGTTCGGGGTAGGCCAGGAAAAGGGCCTACTAAGACTAGTAGTACCAGAGTAGATCTTAGTAGGGAAGCCAAATCCACACAGGGTAAACCCATACTTCGATTTGCTTAAGGAGCCAGGAAAAAGAACATCACAATTATTCTCCAAAAGGATCCAAAAGGGATTCACCCATAGGTAATTTCACCCGATGAGTTCGATGGCTGGATGCCTAGTAGCCGCCCCCGGACCCTGCTGAGGCCCGGACCCTGGACCTTGGCAGCAACGATCCAGGGAGGGGTTGCAGGATCCTTCAGCTGGTACGCATGGAGAAAGCCTGAGCTGCGACACTGCGAGGACACCCAGAAAACACACCCCGGCCACATGAATCAGGCTTTTGAGGCCCCGGCCTTGGCGTGGCACTGGCCATCACAAAACTCACCAGCAATACACGGATCACCATGGCCGCCATGGGAGCGTTGTGTCACTGAGAAGCCAAAAACCCGGTTGCTGAGGCGAGCAGTGCGAGCACAAAATGCTGCGAGCACAAAGCAGTGCGAGCACAAAACACAGCTTTCCATGAACAGAAGATGGAGCCAAAGCAAGTCGCAACTCCATTACTTTGGCAAACACTGCAACTCAGACTTATATCTATATAATTATATAATTATACATATATATATATTATTCACTCGAGCGTGACGTCGAAAGTTCTCTGAACAAACCACACACATCATGCCACATCGCATCACTGGAGCTGGGCTGTGTTGTGCATTCTCATCGTCCTCTGGCTTTCAACCCGGCCCCCGCCTTCACACTTCTCGGCGCCAGGTCTCCTTGCACGGAGTCCGTGCACATCGGCATCTGCAAACCAATCTGCGTCCAACGATCTCCCGGCGTTTCTTCGCCCGATCCTGAGGAACCTGTATGGGCGCCAGGTTTCGCTTGGGCACCCGATTCCGGACCCGACCGGCATGTGCCGCGGTGTTTCACTCGTTGGTCGGCCGTCAGGTGTTTTTTGCGCCCGCCAAGACTTGGTCGGTCGCTTGGTAGAAGCGACACCGCAGGGCCTGATCGAAGAAGGATCGGCTGGGGATCGCTAGGATTTGCTCGTACTCACTGACCAGGCTGCTGAAAACAAAGGGTGTCAGAGTAGATGGCACAAAACCCAATATATCCATATAAACCACCATAGGGGGCTGTGCCATGTACTCTGAAACCACTGTAACTGGATCTCGAACTTCTTCAGGATCTACTCAGAAGCTATACTGTCTGGACTGCCCCGAACTCGAACAGGCACCCTGAGTAGGGGTGTCGTGGCAAGCTTGGATCCATATCAGGCTGCAAGAGATTCGATGTCATTCCAACATGCACATATATAATCATATTATATATATATAGTTGTATTTCTATACAGTAGTAATACATATCGATATGTTTTTCTAATATGTATTATATATATATATATCACACAGTAAATCGTTATTCATTGATTCACATACAGTATATTCACATTAATCGTGGGCGATTGATGGTGCGTGCAGCATGCTGCTTATTGTAGAACATCCATGGGACAAACCTGTTCTCCACGATCCACCATGCCTCAATCCGTTGTAACTTCTCCTCGTGCAAGCGTGGATCGCGCACATCCTCAACGTGAAGAATCAAACATGAACGCAAGATCGTGGCTTCTTGGCTGGTTCAAGAACGAAACAATCCTGGGCTTTAAATCACTGGCTCTTTTTAGAATATAAAGGACCTGGTTGTCAACAATGTGCAGTTGTCCTTCTGCATTTTATAGTTTTCCTCGATCATGTCAAAAGCAAGGCACGACCTTCCGAAGCATATCACTTTTCAGTTCCCAAATGAGTCTTGCTATGCTTTTGTTGGAGCGATCTACTTCTGGAGAAGGACTATATAAACTTACAGTATCTATATAATTCACCCTGAACAAAACCGTGTTGCAAACATCAGGTATATGTGGCATGCTTCAACCGCCCACCTTGAGTGCAACCTAGTTTTACAATGTTCTCAACTGCTTGAAGCTACAAGCTACGCCAAACATGACCTGCCTGCAATTGATTCACAGTCAGCGAAGTCCCAACAAAAATCAACGGAGAACAAACCTCCTCCGCTTAAGCAGCTGAGAACTAAGCAGCTGAGAAGAGCAAGCGGTTCTCATAGAAATAGGCCGCCGTCTCGCGAAGTGCCACCAAACATAGCCCATCCGCATCGCACAAGATCCAGCCCTTCAGCCTCACAGGGCTTCTAAAGAGACCTGGGCAACCTGGAGGGAGAACTGCAGTGGTTGATGGAAATGGACACCCACCATGGCCACCATCTATCAACTTTCGTGGTTTTAGGGCCAGCTCATGGTTCTGAATGCACTGGATCTTGGTCCCAGCAGGCTTCCGCCTCCCATGGTTTCCTCCTCACCGCTACCCTGTGACCATTTGTGACCGGCCTTTGGAAGAGATCATGCCTCTTCTCTTTCAATGGCGTCTTCAATTCTTTCACATCCTCCACTTGGAAGGCCACCTCACACCACGGAGCTCAGCTTCACGGAGCGGCGAAGGCTCGCCTCCCCCCCCCGAAGGCTTCTCCGTTCATCACCCAAGAGGGAGTGACATCACCGAGTTTCGCCCTTCGAACGGAGTGACATCACCGTTCTTTCGCGAACGAAGCAACACCTCGTCCGACAGGTCGACCGGTCGAAGTGAAACCGGTCGACCGGTCGTGCGACACGGTCCGGTCCGCTCTCTGGACATCGGACCCATCCGTGTGGCACTGTGGCATGACTCCATCCGCCAAGGTGTACAACATGGTCGAATGATGGGACGACTTCTTTCATCGTCTTTTATTACTCTCTCTCTCTCTCTCTTTCCAATTCTTTCTCTCACGCATCAAGCCCCCCGGTGGTTTCTTGGGCCACCCGCAATGACCCACGCCGGCATGTCTGCCTTCTGGGTCGCATAGACGAAATGGAATTCCAAAGGTGGAGCCAACCAACAGCGCAAGAGCTCTTCAAAGATCCGGGGATCGTTGGGAAGAGAAATCTTCCGCCTGAGCCCATTCGGCACAACAAAAGGAACCAAAGATCGGATGATGATGGATGATGTCTCGATCCAGCAAATCTGGTGGACACATATCTACATCTATAGCTTGTTTCTGTAAACCTATAGCTATATGATCTTGTTTCTAATAGCTTCTTGTTACTACTAGTAAGGCACTTGTTACTAGAAGCGATGCACTTGTTCCTAGTAGCTTATTGTTTCTATACATCTACATTACATACCACCATATCCAGTATGTGGTGCTTAGGCTCGTCCTTTTTGCCGGGAGGGATTCATGATTCATAGAACACGTGACAATGAAGACCTGGGGTTCGCTGGTGCTTCTACATATTATACAGTACTTCTGAGTTTCAAGTGCTTCGTTCCCGCCCTAGGTTCAGCGCATATTGCTACTCACACCATCAGTCTATTCATTGCACCACACCTTCAATCGTCAAAGACCTGGTGCTATGCAGTGAACCTGACCTGTAAAGAAAACTTCACAATGTTTCGTTTGGATGACGTTTTAGGTGTAACCTTGCCATCTCTTCACTTCATCCTAGGTCCCAGGCTGATAAGCTGACGGAACACTACCATATCCCCATCCAAAACGGGCTCAAAAAGATCCGCCGTCCGCGGCTCGCGCCTGGGATACAGGGCCAAGCGATCCAAGTCAGTCTCTCGATCACTACCCCACACCCAGTGGGGTGCCGGAGGTGGAAACAACTGGGCAATGGGCAAGCGGATCAAACCTCGGGGAGTTGGCACATGTGAGCTGTGAACACGACATTATTTATAGTTTTGCAACTCTGGACTAAGTCCTTGAAAACACATGTCAATCACACACCGTCCCTCATCACTTTGCTCTTCGCTCTCCTATCGTTTCTTGAGATGGTCGAAAACCGGAAAAGGCCGTGATCCGTCCGTCTGAGGTGCGATGAAAGATCGTGCCGACTCTGAAATGCGATTCAGTGGCTGAAACCATGCTTCTCTGCAATCCGGAAGAGGCAAGAGACGAAGTGCACCATGTGAACCGATGAGCACACCTATGCGGAGATGATGCGCTGACGAGGGCATGCCATCTGCGCACTTCGCAGTTCGTATCGACCGGAGTACCAATTCCCCAAGAGGTCAGTATTACTTGAAACCAACATGGAACGAGGAAACTTGTTGGAGCTGGTACAGCTCCCAAACACTCCAATGTAGGGAGTATTGACCTGCATGGAGTCTGCGGGCGACATGTTGGTTCACTTTGAACAACAAAATCAATACCTGTGTCTGAGTTCTTGAGTCGAGTCACAAGCCACTGGATCACCAGGTTGAAGAGCTTGGGTGGAGCAAAAACGTCATCAAAGAAAAGCTCAAACCAGTCCCGGCTTTCTGCGAAAGATGTCGGGATGTCTGTTTCTCTGATGTACACCTGTCAGCCGGGTTCCATGTATGATGACTTCATGTGACACCAGCATGCAACGAACGCAACAGGGACTCTGAACATCCAGCGACAGCATATTCACAGCAAACATCTTGCTATTCACAGCTCAAGCAAACTCTTCCGGAATTCCTGTCTGCTACTCCTTTCCCGTCAAGGAACTGAGTGTCTCCCCCGTTCGACTTTGAATTCATGGCCCGTGGAGTCGAGGTTAATGTCCAGCTTACCGACCGTCTCCTGAAGCGACGCGGAGACGAGACTCGTTTTTGGAGACGAGGTCATAGCAAGGAACAAGGCTACTAGTAGCTAGAACAAGGGCATCGCTAGTAGGTTGGAGGCCATCACTGCTAGGTTCCTTGGAGCCTAGAATTGTTTTTGTGAATGAACAGCGAGTGAGAAGGATCCCATGCAAGGAAACCATAGGAAAATATAGAATACCAATTCTCCAGCCGATCGAGAACACCAACATTTAAACATCCTACCCTGTAGCCTCACTGAATGATGACTGTGAACCATAAATCCATAAAGTGCCCATCTTAATCGACATGTCCACAGATTCCAAAGAGCATGTCTCCTTCAATGAACCTGTTCGCTGTTCAAAAGGGTCATTGGATTGCAGCTGCACCAAACCACCATGCTATGGGAAACTCATGAAAATTCTTAAGCTTCATTCATCCGCAAATATATAGATCCCCGGCAAACCCCAAACCCTGCTCGTGAAAGGCAACATAGACGAAACATTGACGAAACCGCACAGAATCACAAAAGGTTCACGAAAGATCTTTGAACGCTTGAAGGATCTTGAAGGGCTTTTCAACTACCCTGTATCATACGACCTTGCTATACCTATGAACATCCCTCCAACCCCCTCTCAGTCCAAGCCCAAGAAAGCGACATCTAAAAAGAAAACAAACAAACATATGGGAACTTTATGATAACTTTCAGTTTTTCATATGTCCCTCATGTGTCCTTGCGTCACTGCATCTTCCCCATCCTCATGGAAAGCAAACAAAACATGTTCGCAGCGGTCTCCGGCTCTTTGTGCTCTCTCGGTGAGG